GGGGTACTTCAGGTCAATGAACTTTAAAACAAAATAATTTCCTCCTCGAGACAAGAACATCTATACATATATGTATCATACTTTAAGATCTGACTGTAAATGCTGAAAAAATAAACAGCAAGTGTAAAAACGCGACGTTCGGCAAAAAAAAAATCCAATTTGCCTTGCAAAAATACTTTAGACACATGGGTCTACTTTTTTCCGGCACGGTTTAATGTACATGAGTTTGTAAGCTGTTGCTACCATTGTAAGTGCATATATAATATCTACATTAAGGTATTATACCTATGCCTTTGTGTGTGTGTGTGTTAAGCTGCTGTGGACAGCGCCATTGCATTTTCATAATGACTCAGCTGCACTTCTATGCGCGCTCGAGTGAATTTTATTTTGATTGTAGTACATTTCAATTTATTTCAAAGTACTCGATTTTAATTAGATTTTTCGTATTTTGCCGGCTCGGCTCTTCGGTGCTATCAATACGTGTATTTGAATTTTATGCGCTTTGTGGGAATTCTGCAACATGAGCCTATTTTTTATTTTGTATTTTATTTTTTTTTTTGAAAGGTCATTCCTGGCTGAAATTAAAGACAGTTACATACACAACTGCAGGTGTATGTATGTATGTGCATAGATTTGTATGTGCTTAACATAATTTTTTTTGGCGCAAACGGTATTACTTATCTTAAATTTTCTTTGTGCATAGTTTTAATTACAATTTTGGGGCTTTATGTTAAAGTTATTTCTGCCTTTTGCCATTTAATGCTTATTTCCGCATGAACCGATTGCCAAAGGAATAAATCTCCACGCTCTGGCAGGATAAGTAAGTTTGGGGTTCTTTTGTATGTTATCCCAAACTTGAGGAAAAGGCAGGTGGGGACAAGTGCTCCCTGATAAGCAAAATTTTTTCAGGTAAAAGTGTCACCGTTTCTGAAATATGGAAATTTTTTTGAATTAAAAAAAAAACCGGGCCTCTTCATGTATTTTCTTTAACTGCATGTATGTACAAATATGTTTTTTTTTTTGTAAATTCAGTTAAAGAAAATACATGAAGAGGCCCGATTTTTTTAAATTAAAAAAATAACAATACATCAAAAACGGTGACAATTTTACCTGAAAAATATTTGCTTATCAGGGAGCTCAGCCATACCATTTTGACAGAAGATGTAATATCGAGTTACGCCATCCAGGGCCCGAATCGCGGCATTCGTGATCGAGTGAGCACTCGGTCGAATTTTCCCAGCCAGAATTTGCAGCTTCTCTCCAAGAGAACTGTCACTTTGCGCTTCGCACGAAAGCGAATTGATCAAAAATCATTATAATTTGTACAAATTCGTACAAATTTTTTGCTTGACAACCAGAACTACTGACAATTTCTTACGCATTCCTACGACAGTCGGTTCTACGTACCGAAATGACTCGGATTTTACCCGACCAAGGGCTGTTGTTTCGGCGATCTAACCCCGTTTAGGTCGGTGAAATATCTCAGAAGTTGTTCATCCATAGGGCTACATCGGCTATGTATTCTCCTGCTCAAGGCTGGCATCGAGTCAAACCCTGGGCCAGAAACCTACACCTGCTGTGTATACCGGAGACGACTACACCACAACTCCACCTCACTCAAGTGCAATGCTTGCAACGGGTGGATTCACCTCAGAGTCTGCTCAAGTCTACGGACTCATCAGTAGTGGGCGACATCATTTGTGGCCCCCTGCTGCTCAAACAGAGCAGCATCCACAGCAAACCCCAGTCCACATGAGCAGCTCAATAGACCATACCACAATCACGACAGACCACACAGCAGACACAATTGCACCACCACGCACATGCCGCCGCCAACAACTCCTGGTTCCTCCTACAATCTGCACGGTGTGTCAGACCAGGATATTCCGTAGCGTGACATCAGTCAAGTGCAACACCTGCCTTGGCTGGTGCCACTTTTAGGGCATGTTCAGGTCTGCGCACCACGCGAGATTGGACGAGGAACTTCGAGGGCTCGTGTTGCGCTGCACGGTCGCAAGCCCCGATTGCGACGCCTTCCACTACCACCAGAGGGCGGCACCCTCCACAGCAGCGCACACAGCCAATGGTGGTAAGGCAACACACATCCCTCACCCTCAGCATAACAACACGTCTCCCGAACCACACGAAGCTCTTTAAATTCCAGTGTAACGAACTTCAAAGCAAGATCGAGGAGATAAAAAATGACGGTAGGGAACACACTTGGCAGAGCAGATAGACGATTCGACATTCTGCACAATGAACGACGACCCACCCACCAGGATTATGGGCAGCTGCTGCAGATCGCCAGACATAACAATGGTCAGCGCTGGTCTGATAAACAACGTATCATGGCGACCTATGCTGACCTTGGCATCAGACCATCTGGCCGTTATCATCTCGATCGATAAACCGGCCGACTTTGCTTCCACGGAACACCGGACCTATATCAACTTAACCAAAGCTGATTGGAAAGGCTTCGCGGAAATTACTGAAAGCACCTTCGCCGCGCTCCCCACACCAACCGACGTCCACCTTGGTGAACGTAAGTTCCGCAGTGTTGTCACTGCTTCTGCAGCTCGCTTCGTACCCGCAGGATGCATAACGGACCCCCGTCCAAACTTTCCTGCTGATGCGGCTATTCTAGCCGATGAGCGTAACATACTTTGTCGGGTCGATCCCGGAATACACGCATTTAGCAGATTCCTTATGTGACAACTCTCATGCAACGCCAAGTATGCGTAACTGAGCCATGTATTTCCCCGGTAGTGAAGACACTAGAGGCCTTGCTACTCGCGTATTTTACGAACCACCTGAAAGCGAAGCATCAGCATGGTTTCCGTAAAATGCAGTGCAACAACAGCACTTAACGCCATAAACACTCAAATAACAAGTGGCCTAAACCGCAACCGCCCCTGTGAGAGAACTAACTGAACTATGTTTAGAGACTAATCCAGCAAACCTAGAAAAATAAAACAGGAGCTTCCACAGGGTGGTGTCGTTTCCCCATTACTGTTTAAATATTATTCTTCCAAGCTCCCTCAACCATCAAAGGGGCTCTCGATTGTCTCTTACGCTGACGATTTTTCGAAAATGGCGTCTGGGAATGGAATTGATGACTTGTGCTCGAGAGTAAATGGGTATCTCTCCGAGCTTTCTCGCTTCTTCACTCCAAGGAGCCTAACCCTCTCCCCTACAAAATCCTCTGCGACCTTGTTTACCACCTGAACGAAGGAGGTCAGACTACCGCTGGATATTCACGTTGATGACACACCAATTCCGACGGTGAATAACCCCAAAATACTCGGACCTTCGACAGTCTTCTCTCCAGAGCCGTTGCAGCTTACAATAAAAAAAAAATATTTCTCCCGTACGTGAATAAAATATAGTTGCGTTCCCAAACTAGGGTTGCCAGACGTACTGCTTTTGGGAGTAAACGTACTCCTTTTTATTGTACTCCCACTTATTTTTAATGTACTCCCAAAAAAAATATCTGGAAATGTACTCCTTTCTTAGTTTTGTACTCCTTTTTCCAGCTATTAATATTTTATCGTATACAGGGTGTAAAATAATAACTGTTGCAAAAGTTTTATTGAAATATAAAAGGGAACTTTATAGATTTTGCGAAAAAAGTAGTAGTAGAAAAGCTCTAGCGGCACGCAGTCCTTCGTCGGTTACTTTATTATATATCTTCTGTAACCATAGGCTAATTTCCCCCATTTGGCTCCTTTATACTCCGTCTTTTGTCCAACATAAGGCCTCATACTCAGCAATCGAAAAGACTCGGACTGGTGACTAGGAGGTCATTCATACGACCAACCCTATACCTATACAGTTTTATTTCTTTTTTTATACAAAATCTAACAAAAAAATACACCTGAAAAAGGCATGCACTTATCTTCCAAAGCTGGCAAATGGAAATAAGGATTAAAATTTTAAAACTGAGTAATAAAATTTAAGTAAACTATTTATAAAGTTAGCAAAAAATACTCTTTTCGCAAAATCTTTAAAGGACCCTTTAATTTTTTGAAAAACCTTTGCGACAGTTATTATTTTACGCCCTGTACTTTACTAAGGGCCGGTTACTCAATGTCTGGTTAACACTAATCTGCGGTTAAACATCGTTACCAACGTCTTCGACTTCATACATATAACAGGGAGACGGTAACGTCGATAACGATGTTTAACCGCAGATTAGTGTTTACCAGACATTGAGTAACCGGCCCTTAGTAAGTGAAGTTAAGGGAAAGTTACTCAATGTCTGGTTAACACTTATCACCGGTTAAACATTGTTATCGACGTATTCGACTCCATTCATATAACAGGGAGTCGGTAACGTCGATAACGATGTTTAACCAGAGGTTAGTGTTAACCAGACTTTGAGTAACCGACCCTAAGGGCCGTGTGTGTGTAAGCATGGTCGTGGGAAGGTAGGTGCAGGGCGCTCGGGTATAAAAATCAGAAAAATTTTAGATTAATTAAATTTTTTTGTAGAATTTAGTTATTTATTTTTAACATTTATTGTTGCTTTGAAAAAGATAATGGTAATTTGTAACAATTAATTGCATAAAAAAATTAAAACAAAAATTGTACTTCTTTTTTAAGTTTTGTACTGCTTTTTTTCTATCGAAAATAGAAATGTACTCCTTTCTCCGTTTCATAATCTGGCCCTATCCCTAAACCGCACGAAGTTGCAAGAATTTACAGGAATTTACCGGAAAGCGTTCCCGTACTCGGTTTTCTGGTTTATTTTGCTTTTTGATAATTTTACAGGTTTTATCCAGAAGTTAGGGAACGCCTCTTATATATGTACATGTGGCTGATTGGGTTACCTCAGTTCTCCAATTTATCCATATTGGTTAGCAGCGCCGTCTGTGGCGGTTTTTTCAACATCACGTAGATGCATATCAAAACAGGGGCGTCAGAAAACTGAAAAATTTTTACAGTCACCTTGTACTTCCGGTAGGTCATTGTCAAAAACACAACAAATTCCAAATGCGAATGTCAGCATAAAACAAGTCCACAATAATAAACCAGTGAAAATTCTGACGACGACAGCACTAGAATTGGAGCAGAAACTAGAACTCGAAAAAACTGCTAACGTCAACATCAACTGGGCCCCAGAGCACCAACTGGATAAACAATTCCATAAATACCACTTCGATACAATAACAATTTCCTTCGCCGGTTAACGCGTACGTAGAATCAATTGTGGTGCCACGAAAATACGTGGTGCGTTTGAAAACAGCAAGAAAATTATAGATTACAAAACCAGCTAAAGTGGAGCAATATTTCCGTGAGAGTAAACATACAACGCAACGAGTAGAATGTCGGGCGCCGATGACGAGATGAAGGAGCCACGCGTTGCAGAAATTGCCGCATCCAGCGTAAGTTTAGCATTTCTATTTAATAAAAATCAAGGAACTTTATTAGCTGCCATTTGCACTTCCAACACAGATACGCTCCGGTTTGGCTGAGCTAGAATTGAAGTCAGCGCATGTTTTACGTGGTCTGGAAAATGTCAAAACTGCGCCAGTTGCTGAGACACCCGAAACTATGCCGGAAGCTGCGGCAGACGCCGTTGACGGTGGTCGGCCTAACATAGAAAACGGGCCTGACTCGCCGCTACTTACGCCAGCAACGCCAAAGCACACAACACTACTATATGGTGACTGCAAGCCACCAGCTGATATACTTAAGTCCCTCGAAACACTCATCGCGTACTCTGACTCCGATGATGATCCAGAATTTCCACTCCCCGGCCTGGATGATGTGGCACAATTGGCGCTAATTTCGCACAGCATTGTCGCCTATCTAACGCACTTGGATCGCCAGCACTTGGTACGTGTGTCGAGCAGCATTGCCGGCGACACCACACGCTGGCTGGGCGCACTCTTTCGCTTCCTCGATCCGGGTAGTAGTTTTCACACAGACAATGCAGACGCCATATTACGCACTGTGCGTTTAGCGATAGTGGCGCGTTGTCCAGGCTACCTCGAGGGTGGTATACCAGCTTTGGCGCATCCATGCTTCTACATCTCGGAGAATACAACACCGCTGCGTCTGCAATATGCTTGCCGTCAGCTTGGCATACCATTGGATGCGATACGCCTAATACCGGCCAATAGCACTTTCGGTACAATGGATTTGTCATTGCTGCTGAAGCAGGTGCAGGCGGATTTAAGCGCTAATCGTACACCGCTGCTGGTAGTAGCAGATGTGGGTGCCTCAATATGCGGTTACGTGGATAACTTGCAGCGCATGAACGACATTTGTCGGACGCACAACATTTGGTTACATGCCACTGGACATGGTTTGGCGGCGCTGGCGTGCGCTCAGGGACCAAATACGGTGAGTGTGGAGTTTGGGATATAATTTTTAGGGGCAGCGTATTGCTCTATCAAAGCAGAGAATTCCATATTCAATGCAAAGTTAAAAATAGTTGAAAATAAACTTAACATAACATAATAAACATTAACTTTGATAATATTGCAATCTAAAGCTCTAAGAAAACCCACACTTCAAAAACTAAGTATTTTTAACTTCTAATTGACACATGACTGTCAGTCAACCCTGACAAAACGATTTATGGTCAATTAAAAACACACTCTCATTAGTACTGTTCAATAAACTAAATAATCTTATCTCTTACGCATTCCCCCCACAGATCAGCGGTATTGTTGACTCTATCGTTTTGAATTTGGGCAGTTGGTTAGGCGTACCTAGCCTACCCATAGTGGTGAGTTGCAAAATTATGCTCAATCAGATATATATAAGGGTAGAAAAATAACTCTCTGCTTCCGCTCGTAGCTCCTTCATCGCCAATTGCAAAACTCTGCATTAGCCGCCTTCGAATCGGATCCAATTATTTCGCGCCGCCTCCATTCGCTTTCGCTGTGGACCAGTTTGCAGGCTTTGGGACGCGATGCGATAGCCGAACGTATACATGTAGCATTCCAAACTTGTAGTATTCTCTTCGAGATCACATCCAAGTGCGAGGGTGTGCGCGTGGTGGTAAGTTGGGCCGATTATATGGTAGTTGGAATTTAATGCATGTTTGGGTGTATTAAAATTGAGTTGAGCGATTCTTCAACAACAGTTTTTTTGTAATTAGGTTCAATGAAGAAAACGTGTCAACATTCGCATTACTCATCAGCAGTTTTAATTTGTGTCACTTGCGTTCTTTGTAGCGTAATTTCCGCTGCTGTTGCTTTGTGTTTTTCGCTATACGGTGATAAGCCCTAGCGCGTATATGGGGTTTTATCATCCTTAAGATAATGATTTATAGAATTTTTACCACATTTATTTATTTTGTTCGGCTTATTATTTCGTTAAAACGCTCAGTGCCTTAAGCGATAACAATTAAAATGTTTATATCTACACGAAAAAAGAGCTTTTTATATGTATGTATATACATTTAAAAGTACATTTTAAAAAAATGCTTGTATGTGTAGTGGTTCAGTTTTGCACTTGTTTATCTACCACTATTGTATTTAATTTAAAAATATAATTCTTTTATTGTATTTTGTTTAGACCACAACGAATTGTTAAAAAAATTTCATTCACAATTTTTCAACTGGATTAAATCAACGTTCTTTTATTATTTATACATTAACTTAAATATAATTTTCTATAAACATCGGTTTTAACATTTACATATGTATATACACACAATCAGCTCAATTTAGGAAATTATACTTTTCATCTACTATACAGTTCTACATTAAAAACTTCCGCGTAAACCTTGAAAATTTTCGGTCAATGCATTTAAAAAATATTTCGAACTGTTTTAAACAATGGTTTCAAACTACATACATATACAGCCCAAAAAGATTGTATGCCTAGATCGATGGCCTTGTGATCACCCAAACTAGGTCTTATTAACAGAAAAGTGCAACAATGCATTTTTTGTAATTGTAAAAGCAAATTAAATATTTTATCAGTAAGTAAAACCAAAACAAAACTGGTATAATTTGCCATAAGCAACAATAACTTTGAAGTATCTAACAAAAATCCCCTTAAGTTAATTTGTTATTCACTCAACTTGTTTGACTTAATTGCGATCCAGTTAATATCAATAATAATAATACCAAACATTTCATTTTTATACTAGAGCCGCGCACCAGGCGCCCAATCGGGCACCACACTCAACGATGTCATTAATAAGCCGTTAGACGCTAATGTAAGTAAATATTTTATCGCCAACCATGCACTTGAACTACAACTCAAGTAAGCTTACATTAATTAAAATTTGCAAACTACACTCCACAGTTGCTCTTCGAGACCGTGGCATCTGTAGTTGTATTTCAATTTGATGGTAGCGCCACTATACCGACAGCGGTCGGCAAAACTGATAGCGAGCATTTGAGCGCGTTGGAGAACAGTAGCAAGGCGTTGGAGAAGAGTGGAAATGCTTCATATTTTGATCGCTTAAATTCGTGGTTGGGACAGATTCTACAACGCGACTGCCCTAATGTAAGTTAACATTCTTTTACAATAATTTTGTTTTCTATTAAAAAACGTTTCTTTGTTTCCCATCGTAGTTTGATTTCGAAATCATTGAGCATCCCACACAAGGCACTTGCATACGCTATTGCCCCCTGGAATTGGGATTGGGCGAGCAGCCACCAACATCGGAAAATTTGGAAAGTTTCGCACAGAATCTCGAAGGCAATGTGGATATTTTACGTGCTACTATTAAACATAAAGCAACATTTATACAATTAGTTGAGAAAAGCGATGTGCTACGTCTGGTCAATCTGCCTGAATGGGCGGGTATGGGTGGTGTACGTTTTGTGCCCGAAGGTTGGGAATCACTGCTGACCGATCAAGCCAAAACGGAGTTAAATAAGCTAAACGCGGATCTCGTTGATGCTTTGAAGTCAACCGATAATGCCTTCTCGCTGGGCGAGGGCACAGATGGACTGATCTGTGTGCGCTTTGGCATGGTCACACATGAAACGGATGTCGACGAGTTGCTCGATTTGGTCGTTTCGGTGGGTAAAAGTGTGCAGGAAAATTCAAGGGTGTTGGATACAATGTCGGAAATAGTGAAAAAGGTTAGTGTGGGAAAGATTGGCAAAGAATATTTTTATTGTTTATTGAAAACATGTAAATTAAAAAAACATTGCTAAAAATTTTCTGTTATTTAGGGCATCGAAGCTGCGACAGCCGATTTGCAGCGTGAAACCGAGGAAAAAATGTGGCAAGAGGGCATCTTACGTCATGTGCCTGTTGTAGGCCGCGTCTTCAATTGGTGGTCACCGCCTGCCAAGGAGACTGGTGGCATCAAAGGACGTAGTCTCAATCTAACACAAGGTGTTGTCGAAAGCACAGAAAATATTTACAGGTAAGATTTAATAAAATTGTCTGATAATTTTTGTATGGCTTTAAACATATTCGCGATTAACTTCACAGATATCACATGCAAATGTCTGGCTCGCCACACCAAGCTGGACGTTCGCCACCCACGCCCATGGTACAAACGCCTGTCATCTCTGCTGCCAATGCAGTGCCCCCTGTTTTTCCCGATCCAACATCACAAGTGCAAACATCACCAGTACAAGAACAACAACAACAACAGCAGCAGCAGCAAACGCAACAGCCAAATGCGAATAATGTCGATGAAGGCTGTAATAGTCATGCGCGCAATACAAGCCAGAGTAGTGGTCAATCTTCGGTGCCTGAACTGGTACCAGTCAATGTGAATGCGATTGCGAATACAAATACAATAAATAATGGAAAGTAATTCAATAGTAATTAGATATGTATATTGTGAATTACAAGTACTTTAATGTAATGCAATGATAGCAAGCCTTGTTTTCAGCTAAGGAAACGGCGTATTATTTTAAAATATCTTGGAGCTTGAATATGCGTCAGGCTCACTTCAAGTTTAAAAGTGTTTATTAACGTCGCAAGCTTCTCTTAGTTATTACATAGAGATAGAAGGCATAGAACATAATAGAAAGCATTTTTGTATTTTTGGCAAAATTGTGCAGTAGTAAGAAAAATACACAAAACAAATGCATTGAAGAGCAACGAACTTCCGGAAATGATCAACAAAAAAACTAAACCCACAAATAAACAAATGTTAAAATGTAATAATGTGCAATTATTTAAGATCATTTTTGAGTTAACCAAAGTTCGGTAGCCTGATTGTAGCGCGTATGTTAATTGACGGGTTACAAAATCGGTAAATCGCGGAATCCCCGAATGTATTATTTATCAATATTTTTATGTATGAACATATGTATGTACATTTTATTTATAGATACATACATTTTATCACTTGTATTAATTTACGTGTACCATACTTTAATTTCATTATGGAATTTAATTTACAAAACACGCAAAAAACAAACAAGCCAGCCAGCAGCTGAATAAAGAAATGCGTCTCAAGCAACTGGCGCACAATTTTTTCTCTAACGAAAAGTACACAAAATCATTCCTTTAACTTTTATTTCAAAAAATATCTATGAAAATATTAAGCGGTTTCTCATAACTAAAAATGCTGCAAATAGTTGAATATGCCCTCTTTCGATGAAAAGTTTTAGCTAAGCTATCTCAATTTCTAAGCTGTTGTACATGTGATTCCATGGATTTCTTTTCTATTAATTTAAATCAAACTCTGTTTTGTGCTCTATATCAGTATATTATTTTTCCTTACAACATTTTAATCAATTAATTTTAAAATTTCACTCGTGTTTTTCTGCTACCTTTTATATTATATTTAATCTTCCACATTCAACAGAAACAATTTCAACTATTGTACTCTATTATAGTAAATCATTATTAATGAATATTTAATGCAAATTCAAAATACTATTTAAAAATAGTAAGCAATATAAAAATGATAAAAGAAATAAAGCGAATTATTTCGGCTGAGTGTGCACAATTTGCAAATTTTATTGGTGGTGGTATTTTATGGTAAGTGGGAATCAGGAACTGTTGAATTTTTAGCATTTCTTGAGTTATACTAAGAAACTTTTTGGAATATGTTTGCTTATTTGTACAATTTTGGGGTGGGGCGAAGGGGGAAGAGCGTGGCCTCAACCCCCCATAACGAAAGAGGATGGACGCCGCTTTATGGAAAGGCAAATAGGGAGGATAACTTATGAAAATTCAGTGCAAAGTGCGAAATCACCTACAGTTTTAGAGCAAATCAAAAATCTATGTGAGCGACTACCGAGTTAACGTTATTAAGAAGATATTGAGATGTTGAAGAATGTAAGGAGGACCAAAATTTATATCCGGTGAAGGACTCAGCACTACGTGCATAGCTCCATCAAGTAGGAATTATTTCAGGACGGTTACTATTATAAATTAATATTTGAAATTGAGCCAAATATTTTCCAAAATTAATACAAAATGTGTAGTTAAGACACTTTTACAAGGAACTCTTCTAATCAAATGAATCGCCATTTATTGCACACTTACCTGAGACTCCGCCGTCGACAGCAACATACACGGTTTATGTACGAGTATTAACTATTACTTTTAATCACTTTTCTTGCAAAAAAACACTAACCACTACTTTATCACTCAAATAATCTAATTTTTCAAGCACTTTCACTACTTACTACACCATTTTATCACATTTAAAAAAACTACTATCGATTTGCACTGATTTCAAGCAAACGGTACTTTTATGTGCTGATGATGGTGGTATTGCCAGATGATATGCGTTTTTTAGAATTAGTATGTTCGAATAGATAATCAGTGTAAAATATCCAGCAGTAATTTGCAGGAGAACGCAAAATTAGCAAAAATAAGATGCAAGTTTTAGGTATAACCGATCGAATTGTTTTACATAAAAAAGCAAAAATCATGAAAATAATATAATAGAATAGCCTTATTCATAAAAATTAAAGGA